AAAAATTGTGCTCTTTAAGTATTTTGCTAAAGCTATATTATTCTCCATAATCTTTTTAAATATGGAATTCACATCCATTGTGTAAATATTTATTGAACACTCATCAAACAGTTTTTTTCTTTGTTCTATATAGCCAGTACAAAATAGCAGGAAATGTTTTTCATCTCCTAATGCTTTAGTGTTACATTTATTACAGTGTCTATTTTCTAATTCTATTTTGGGCTTTGTTCTTCTACCTAATTCTATTTCTAAGTTGTGGTCACTCAGACGGAATTTTGAAAGCATTTTCCTGAGGCTGAAATTTGAAATGTTTTGCAAATAATTTTCCATATTATAGCTTACTTTGAATAGTTTGTATGTTCTCAGTTTTGTTCCCCTATTTTCATTGGTTTCACTGAAATTTAGTTTTTCTCTCCATCTTTGAATATAAAACTCAGATAGTCTGAGTTTTACTTTTTTTAGTATTTGATTCCAATTTTCCATATTGTGATCATTTTTTATTTTAATTAGATCATGTCCCAGTGTAGCATTAATAGTCCTTACCCAGTTTGAATTAATTTTTATCATTTCATCCAGGGCTAATTTGTAAATCCAATTTGTTAAGGTATTCCATTTGAAAACAAATATTAAGGTAGCGAGACTATTATTTGTGTTGAATATTACGATTTTCACATTTATTTATTAATTGATGAAATGCACTATAAACTTGCATCTGATAAAGTCAACGTAACCTAGAATTTCATGTAAGTTGGTTAAAATGTTGATTTTCTGAAGGGAAGCAAGGCAGTTTCAGTAGTGTTTTCCAAAATCAACAACACAGGTTTAGTCTGTGTGCCGATAAGTTTCAAAGATTAACTCAAGGCAAAGCAATGTTAGGATGTGTTATCAGTAGCTATCTGACACACAATGAGTGTTTCCAAACATTTGAGTGGTTTGTCTCCGCCCCCGTTTATTTCACAGATTAGTCATATGCATATGAATGTATCAGACACAAGGTCACACAGCCACTGAAAAAATCATTGATTTTGGCGTTTTCATCTGCCGATTTTATCGAATTATAGCTATCCCATTCCTTTATTTTTTGGTTTCCAATAGCCTTACACATTTGGATTCCCCCTACACATGTTAAAGCAGACCATGAAGGAAAAACAAATCGTTTGTGTCGATAAACAAGTTTGAAAATCTTTGCTGTTACTTCATGGACGTTTTCTAGGAGTTTATGTTTTTCAAAATACAAGGTCTTTAACAAAAAATAACGTCGTCGGATTAACACCAAATTTTCACAGCTTTAAGGTGACAATGAGAGGAACTTGAATGTGTCCAGACAAACTATTTCATGGATTATTTACCAATGTGTTGTGGTTTGAGTTGGGGGCAATGTGACTAAAACAGAAATTAAAATTCAGGACACTATTTTTCAAAACGCGTTGCTTGCATAAAACTGACCAGACACATTCAATTTACCAGACTATTGAACAACTAGGAAAAGTGAAAAAAACCTTATCACCAGCATAAATGCGTAATTATTTTTTTTACAAAAAAAGTATTTTTTCACTTTTGATTGAGTAACGCACCGTAGAATGCAAATACGGGCATGGCAAACACACCTTTGAAAAGCTTGAAGTCTGGCGATTCCTAAAAATATATACTTTCCTGGGTCTATTTGTAGTCGTTTGGTCACAATTAGAAGATGAAAACAAGTATGTAAATAATAGTCCCGCTACCTTAAAGACCTGAATATCCAAACAAATCTTCGGTCATTGTATTTTATTAATGAATTTTACATCAAACTACCTTTTAGTTTATATATTACATGATGTGATGTGATTCGAGTTTATTTTGGCCAGAACATCAACTACTGTAAAACCGTCTTTTTAGCTAGCATGTTATTTTAGCTAATTTAGCTAATCTGTAATTTCGTTAATTCAAGATGCAGCTAATTTAACAGAAAGTATATTCTCACAGGGAGATAGTCGACACTTTAGCTAAATTGAGATTCTGTTAATTCATGCCAAGAGTCAAATCTGCTAAAATTGCATGCACTATTTCAACGTGTTCTACAGTAATTTAAACAATCATGCCATTCTTGTAATAGTAATTTCTCATTTGATGACTTCAATTCGAAGTATAGTCATCTATGACATTAAACGCACAGTTGTTGTGATTGATCGAACTGTTATTTTGAATTTCTAAATGTTATTTGAATATTTATAAATTAACCATAAACTAAATCCACTGAGAGTTATTGTCCCTATGGTTTTTATTTCACAATTGTTCTACTTATAAGACACAATACATTGAAGTGGGTGTGTCTCATCAGTGATCTATTCCACCATGAAAGAAAACAATCTTACCATCTCCAATAACAGTACATATGGATGTCTCGGCCATTTTCTTTGTTCATCTGTTAATCTATGTAAAGGAAATGACTGTGTAGCATCATGAAGGAGTTTGTTGTCTGATACACGTTTTTTCTGTTTCTCTAGAGAGAATTGCAGACTTCGTATATACTAATAAAAATAAAAAAAAAACCTACTATGTAACTATCTATTTTCCGCAACAAATAAAATGTTATTTATACACCACAAAACACTTATGAATTCAAATTTGCATAACTTACGTAGGTTTTCAACAATATATTTTATAGGTTAGCAATTTTGAAATCCTTAAAAAGGTACAATATACATTTAGGCAATAGGCGTATTCCTATAGTTGTCATTATTTTGAAGAACTTGCGTCATTGTAACAAATTATCTGCTTTTTATCTCGTTCAAAACATTCATTTAGTACCATGTTTGAGCAAGTCTGGATATAGAAAAAATCATTGAAAATACTACGTAGTCTTTAGTTTACATATGCGTCACGTGACGTGACAGACTTGCCAGCGCATCATTGTCAAAATGACCAAACCTGCAATTTCTAGAGAAATATTACAGTAATACGGTTGAAATTTACAAGATATACCATGAAACTGTGTCCCGATTGTTTTAAGAACCTGTATACAGAAAAGTGTTTTACTGCCCAGTATTTTATGTTTGATGGGAATGTTAGACGTTTCGGCCACTATTTTTACCAAGACACCGTGACACACATGATTTATATAATAATATGTAACTTTCGCCGAATTGAGAGACTCAATTTGTATATCTTGCATATCCTCCATAAAGTCGGACATTACGATAATAATGCATATCCCAAAGATGAGGATGTTCATTGAGCACAGTTTAAGTATGACATAAAAGTAAAATATCATATTATAATAGTTCGCATGACTTTATTGCAAAGAATGATGAATATATTATAACAAGGCGTTTATATTATACAATACCTGTACAGATGTAATTTTAATACATCTAAATGTTAGCATACTGCAAATCAAGTATGCAATAGTCAACCGTATATTTAGATCGCAGCAGTGAATAATAGACCGGCAGCTGCATGTCACTTGTCCTTGGCACAAACATGTGCGAACAGACGACATAACATGAATTTTATCAATCAAAGGCAATTGAAAATTTGACCCGAGTATCTAATCACCTTTTCCGGGCATTTTCCATGGCCAACTTTTGATTGAGACGATTGTCTTCAAAATGAAACCCGCGCCACGCAACACGATATTTTTTCTTGTACGTTGTAATTGTTTATTAATTTATTTTCTTCAGTGAGTACGCCGTCGGCCAATATGAAAGGCTAGCTGTGATTGGCTATAGCTTATGCAAGATTTGAACTGCATTTATACGGGCATTGAGTCACTTCCTGTGGGCTTGCGCGATTACCAAAACTTCCAGCAAATTAATAATAAATTAAAATAAATAAAATAAAAGGTATAATAAAAATAAATATACACATATTTAAAAAAAAATAAAAAAATAAAGCCCAAGCAAGGATCTTATTTTAAGCAGACTAGGGAGTATCAAACAAGTTAAGCATCAGGAATACTCTCTCCAGTGACGTCACATTGTCCTCGTTCGACCTGAAGATAATGGCTGCAACGGAGAAACGTGTAGTACGCAGCACTAAATCCCGGGAAAACATTAAACTAATGGTTTTTGTAACGGTTTTGGTGAGAGTTTAATAAACATAATATCAAATGCGATATCTTTGGTGGTGTGATATGAAAAATATTCTGCTTTTGTCGTCATTTATTTGCGATGTAATTTGACGTCGCACGTTTGTGTTACACGAGTCTATGAGCGGAACTACAGCTCTTCTGTGTCGACAAATGTCCTAATATGTGAAAATAGCAAATTCAATGACACAAAATATATCAAAAATGACTAAAATAATAACATCACAAAGACTGAAGAAGAGCTATGAACTATTCAAAACCCAGACATATTTATCTATCTCATTGTCATGTTAATCATTGAGACATACGTGGCACTAACCTAGTAGGATAAGAGTTCCTTAGGGCCTCCAAACCCCAATCTCTATCCTAACTCTGTCCTAACCCTGTCCCCCCACCATTTCAATTGTATATATCTCTCTTCGGGTCGCCTATATTTATTTGGAGGGGTATATTAAATTATATTGAGGGGTTGAAGTGTGGGGTCAGGGCTCAGGTTATGGGTGAGGGGCCACAAGGAACTCTTTCCCAAAACATAATTTGCTACCAATTCATTACCAGTTCATTGACCTGTACCTTATTAATGATGTTGTTGTTAAAAGACATCTATGAAATGGCGTAAATTTGAAGGGGTTGTGCGTTTTGCCAGTGATGTGCTAACATTCATTGTTGTGTACGTATGGACAATCCATCACGTGCAAACATTACTGTTCCAAATTATTCACTGGCTGTATACATTTCACCTAATCCTCAAAAAAATTAAACATTATGCAAAACACAACAGTACAAGTTTATTTTAATTTAATTTTTCAAACCCATATTTTTGTGGCATCCTGGTAAAATTCTTATTTTCTAATCAGCTACAGTGATTCGTCTAAGTTAGAAGAAATATTTTCATGTGTTTAGAAAACAAATGACTTCATGCTCTGCCTTAACAGGCTAAAGTTCGTTGTTATTCTATTGATGCATGACGCCCACAGACCATGGAGCTCCATGCACAGACCATGGAAGGTACTAACTTCCATGCACAGACTAACCTCTATCGTAAGGGACGTGATCTGTTCACGTGATTCCTGGCCGAGTCTTCCACACAACGGCAGAATGTCGTCATATAAGACGACCATGAACCTCTCAACGCACAAATGTGCAATCCCTCGTTCGTAGTTGAAATGTCTTTCCTCGTAGAAGACATTTGTCCGATTCATTTTAAATCAAACACGTAGAGAAATGCTCCAATCACAAGCCACCGAGTAAGTGACGAAATTGAACAGTAAAGAATGGTCACATGACTACCACTCCTTGTTTATTGATTGTCCGAGTGCCGTGTGCAAAGGGAAATTACGCCGATAAAAACCAGGATAAAAACAACTCATCAGGGAAGTTCATTTATTTCTCAGAGGGGGCATGTTCCTCGACGTGGTTAATGACAATTGATTAAGGAAATTAATTTCCAAACGTGCACAATGTGAAAATAGTCAGATAGACAGATATATATAGATTTTTATTTAGAACGTACCAAAAAAATGAATAATGTCCAATAACAACAACAAAAACCACTCAGGCTAACCACCGCTCCTGGATTACCCATTGTTTTAATGTAATTAGCAATTATCATTGGAATGCATGCAACGGATGTTGGCGTCTTATAGTCACGTGATACTGTATTCCAGCGACTCTTCATATTTTCACTCGTATTCGATAGGCTGTGTAAAAATTTCTGCTTGCTTCGTTTTTCCGAAAACAAACTTAATGCACCCCTACTATGTGAATGGAAGTGTCCTGTGTTGGTAAAGGTCAGGCATTGTTAAAAATAGATGTGCTGGTACATACGCGTATGTTCGGTAAGTAACACACTCATCAGATTTTCCCATTTGTTATAAAGACCAGTGTTGACTAGTTAAAACTACAGAACAGTGAATTGACTATACTCTAACTATGCTGGGAGATAAGGTGTGTATTACAACTTGTATATATTGTTTAAGTATGTTCGTAAATCAACGTAGCAAATGGTTTTTGTCAACGTGTCAACTCTCGCGCGATCGGGTCTTCCATATTTTTGGGGTACTAGTAATTTTGCTATGGTGTTTCGATCATTAATTCACTCGTTTTAGTTCGAATAAAGGTAATGTAAGTCGATCGATAGTTTTCTACCGATATCATGCTTGAGTTGTGTGAAGCGAGACGAAATAGAATTTCGAAGAATCGTGTTATTTTCGAACAATTTCGATATCATGGTGAAAAAGCTTTCTTACCTTTTTACCTTGCCCGTACCATCAAAGATGGAAGGGAAAGGTATATTAAAGGCCCAATTCACTTGCCCCAGGCAAGTGTGAATTGGAGGTGTGGCTATTCTAATGCATGGTGTTAATCACTTGCATAGCCTATGACGCATCCTGTTTCAGCGGTCCAACATCACGTGACTTTGATTGACAGTAGTAATTATTCAAGATTAGTCGCGCATCCCTTTCCCCGGTTCATGTTTTTTACTTTTATCCGCCAAAATCTCAGCTCGTACACAATTTATTGTCATAAATATTACACACAGTCACTGCTGTAATATTCATAGTCACATGCATCCACTTTGGCACGACATAATAGACCTGTAAGTTCGAGAAAACACGTTTTTACTGGAGCTTGGCTTGAACTGTTTACTACAGCGTGACAAGCAAGGCAATAATCCCTATTGTTTAGGAGCGTATTTATAGTATATCTGGGCCTTTAAGGGAAAAATTTTGTCCGGCGTTGTCGTTGTTGTTGTCGTCGTCGTCGTCGTTAATAATTGTTATTGTGTGCATAATAACTTTACTAATTCTATTCCAAACTTATCAAACTTGGTCACCTTATTCATCAGTATAAAGTCTTCCCTGAGTTTGAACAACAGATGTCCTGTATGAAAATATCATGCAAAAATTGAGAAAATCTGATAAAATATTTTGACTGTTTCTACTTGACTGATCACTGGTGATACACATCAAAGGTCACTGATCTCAGTGGAAATATGCATTGTTGTATGTGTTCAAATGATTTATCTTGTAATAATATCCTTGGTAATGTATCTCAGAATCCCATACTGGGTTTCAAAACCAACTCATGGAGAGATTGCACAGTCTGATACACATTTGCAAACCTACCAATAAAATCTTTACAGAAAACAAGATGTCAGAAAATCAATATAAGCACTCCTATGAACTGGGTGCCTAACTTTGATCAAGATCTGAAGCTAATAGAAAATCTGTTTAGTTCAAAGTTATCAAATCAAAAACAATACATAAAAATACATTAAAAGCAAAACATTTCATCCACATTTTAAAAAGAAAATTATTCTAAAATATATGTATTCTGTATTTGACAAAGAGTTCATTCGACAAATGAAAACTCACAGGAATATGTTTCAGCTATTAGAACAGAATGATAGTTTTTATAATA